TTTAATATTTAAATCTAATATGTTTCATATTTATATTTATATTCATTTTTAACTAATTGGTTATTATTTTGCGTACGCAAATTACATTTCAAGTCCTCATGGTGTGAATTGGTTAAAGTTTTCAACTAGAAATAATCGCAACATGAGTAGGACTGCATTGGTTGTGATTATGCCCCTGCGCTAAGATAATTTTACTGTGCATTCAAGGCAGCAGCAGCTGGAACCAGTTGGGAATTCGAGGGACATACAAAAATAATATAAACATAGTTAAAATAAATACAAAAAATATTTGATTTCATTTAATATGGAATATTTAAAATAAAAAGTTTTTCCTTTGGATTTTAAAAGAAAAATTTTGAAATCAAGTCTTAATAATATTCAATTTAAATATGAAACATATTAAACTACAAATTTAATATGTTATAGTTATTTTGAAGTGTTTTGTATTTAGATTAAATATGACCGTATTAAAAAAGCATTTTTAATACATTTATATTTGAATCAAAGTGAATTCTATTAAATTTTACTATGATTGTATTTAAAAATGGCATTTTAAATTCAAATATGGTTGTAGTTATTTTTACTATCCCTTTTTTCTATCAGTGTATTCAGCGTATTGTTGGTGTAGATGTAGATTTCGATTTCAGCAGCCTACAGCATCTACTGAGTGAGTGCCATCATCATTCAGCATTCATCAGTATGCACTTGGAAGATGTAATTTAAAATAAATATCCACTCTACTGTCACACGTTGCTCCAATAGGACCAGGGCGAGGACGAGGAACCCATAAGGATCCCATAAAGATCCCAACACAGCTGCTGCTGCTGCTGCTGCTGCTGCACAGCTCACGGAGTGAGGGACTAGCAAGACGAGCACCGATTGTTCTAAAAGGGCATCCCTATTCTGTGTACAGGTTTGGCGCCAGTTTTAACGCTTTATCCCTCTTGTTGTGCACCTGTTGCTGCTGCTTGTTTGCCATCTCGTTGCAGATCAACTCAAATCTGTCATGTTGCAGTGGCATTCCGCACTCTGACTCTGACTCCTCCGGTGGCTATGGCTGTGGAGGTGGCATGTGGGCGAAGTTTAAACGAGTGCGCGGTGATGCAGAGAGAGATAGACAACGGGGACTATTGCAGTCGTCAGTTGCCATAAGATAAACATGGCCAAGGTGTCCGAGGCTCAAGCCTCTCGGCATAATTATGTATGTACAAGAAGCTGTCGTCGGGCAGGGGAAGACCAAGCCAAAGAAGCAACAAAGAGGGGCACACAGCACACAGCCGAGCGGGCCAGTGGACAGGAAAAGCCACACAAAAAAAAAAAAGAAACAGCCGCAGCCGCAGCCGCAGCAGCAGCAGCAGCATCAGTACCCGGCCCGGAGTGGTGCTATAAGCGTAAGCGTAAGCAATAGTGCAGCAAAACAGTTTGCAATAACTTTTCGCTTACAAATTTGCCAAACAATGCAGATCGCTGGGCACGAATTCGCAGTTGGACTCGCCACCGGTCGAGAGTTTCTGTCTCGGTGTCGGTGTCGACTCGACGGACGTCCCGACTATGCAGCCGCGCATTGATGGAACTTTTTCTCCTCTCCTCTGCTCTGTGTGTGTGTATGTGTGTGTTTTTGTGTGTCCAAACGGAATGGAGGGGCAATTATGGCTGCCCTGGGACTTTGGTCTCGACTCGTGCCACGCGTCCGCATTTACAAGACTAGCAAATTATGTATGTGCGCACCTCTACCACTGCCCGTCTGCCTGCCTCTCTGTCTGACTGCCCGCCAGTCTGCCTCTTCTCTGTCTGTCTGCTTGCCACTTGCAACAGTGAAGCAGCGAAGCAGTGATGCGGCGCATCATAGCGAGGTTCTGCTGTGGCTACACAGTACTATATGCAGATCCCATAAAGAGCCAGAAAGGGTTCGCTGATCTCCGAAATGGAACAGGCGCGCGCCGCGGCTGCTGCTGCTGCTGCTGCTGCACAGCTTAAAAAGTTTGCAAACTTTTGCGGGGCTGACGATTTAGTTTTGGTTTTTGGGGTTTTTGTTTCCTTTTGTTTTGTTTTTTTTTGTAGTAGTAGTAGTAGCAGGTTCACCGTAAACACAGCAACAGACCTGCAGAGAGAATGAGTGTGAGAGAGGGAGAGAGAAAGGTAACGGGAAACCGCCAAGTTATCCAGTTATCCATGCGCCTCACGCAGTCGCCGCAAAGCAGTCGAAATGAGAGCAAAAGTAGCCAATGCTTTTTCGGTTTTCTTTTCAGTTTTCAGCTTAGCGCCCGTTGTCCATGATTGTCCCCATGCCCCACTACACTTCACTTCACTCCACTCCACTCACTCCACTCCACACAGGCACTCCACTCTACTCCATCCCACTCCACTCCAGTTCAGTTCAGTTCGGTTCAGTCGTTCCCGTGTGTCCACGTACCAACATTGGCCTAATGTTGCACATTGTATGCCGCGCTGATCTTGTTTATTATGCAAGAAAGCTGCCAAAGTGAGCCAGCGACACACAGATAAACGAAATGTACGAAAGCCAAAGCCAAAGCCAACCAGAAACAACAAAAGGGGGGGTAACATCACAGCACACAGCACAGAAACTGCACAGAAACTACAGAAACTACAGAAACTGCCGCAACAATCACAGAAAGTAAATTTACAAAAAATTTCAATTGAACAAAAACAGCATGCCGTATAATGTGGATCTGGATGGAAGCCAAAAGAAATGGATACTCTCGCGAGATATTACTCAGCTAACTTTTATGTTGAAAATATCTTATATGAAAGGAGACGCTGTTATCAGGATAAGGAAGGAAGCCCAGCACATATGTACACACATGATCATAATAATAGGTACACACATTTACGTAAACTTGATCATAGCAGAAAACAGTTTTATTCTATATTTGAAAATTAAAATTAGTTCCCAATTATTCTTTAAGTATTTTTTCTCATTAATATAAAGTTTGTTATACTATAGGATAATGTTATATAAGAAAAGAGAGCCTGTACTTCAGGCTGATCAAAATAATAGGTACACTTGAAGTGTTGTTAAGATAAAAATTTGTTAAATGAACTTTCAACTTTTTCTATCGAATTTTGTGAGCAGGATTCAGTTCTCATTTCATCAAAAATAGTATGGATTACATATATGTACATATATGCATGTACAATGCTTGGCACATATGTATGTTAGGTATGAGAGTCTTTTAGGCCATTTCCAGAGTCGCAGCATAAACTGCTGGTAATGCCCAAAGTGTTGGCCATCACTTTCACCAGCACATGGAACCTCTGTCCATATAAAGTGGCTAATTTGTTGGTTGATGTCCACGACTGCACCCTTTACCGTCATCATTTAATATGCACACATTCACTTGCACACACACACATATATATACATATGTATATGTACATACATATGTATATATACATATTCATATAGTACATACATATGTATGTTCATTCCCCACTACGTATGATGCACTCTCACTATGTATGTTGTTTTCTACCGATCAAATTCTTGGCTACCAAAAATTCATAACTCGCGAATAATAAATTCTCATTTGAATGGGAGAACTGTGTGGTGTGCCCCGTGCCAAGTACCGTAATACATACATATACAAAAATTTGACACTATTTCTGATGTTCCCGCCCGGAATAAATTGGTGGGGGTAGCGCATTTCCACAGTTCCCTCACGATCACTGCTGATGGGGGGGGGGAGAACTTGGCACAGGCAGCAGTCGGTCGCGAAGTGGGTGGTGCAGCGTGTAGGCCTGAATGTTAATGCAATTTGCTTTTTGCGCATATGAAACAGCTATCGACCCCAGCACCCAGCACCAGCCCAAGCCCCAGCAGACAGCAGACAGCAGATCAGACCGAAGAGGCACTGAATTATTGAGGAGTGGAGCCACTTCTCCAACCAACGACTACAAACAGACGCTGTTCCTTTCTGACATATGTATGGAACTGTGTCAACTGGGTCAAAAGGTAAGTGACTTAAAAGCTTTTTAGTATTCTGCTCAGTCCGAGCCCGAGTCCGAGCCGAACCAAGCCTAGGGTAGAAGTCGAAATCAGTCAGAAAGGCCAGAGCCAAAAAATAACCCACTTATTGTCATGGCTTGGAACCCTTTTCTCTTTTTCCTGCAAACAAAAAACAGCCTTACTATTTATAGGCCAAACTGTTCAACCTGGTCAGTTAATCACTCAGAGGGATGGGTAAAAATATTTTTGCCCTTCATTCGAAAATATCCAAAGATATATTTGTATTCCTTTGGGTATCGCTATATTCTGGAATTGCTAAGGGTGGCCTCGGGCTAGTCCCTCTACTACTCTAATATTTAATAATTAATATCTAATAATTAATATATGTAGCTATGTACTTGTAATATTATTTATAAAATTTGCGACCTACATGCACTGCTGCAGAAGGTTCTTTCAAAAGAATAGCCAACAATTGTTAATCCACTTCTATTCACACGCCTGCCTTGGCCTTGCCGCGATTCCGCAATGCATTGAGCTAACGAATGCTCCTTCAGTCCAACCGGACTTCCTTCAAAGACTCGTGAAGACCGACGACGCCCCACAGAAACGAGCAGAGTGGTGGCCAATGGCCATCCAACCAGCTGTGGGCTTTCATGGGCAAGGTCGTCTGTCAGTTCGGAGTGAACATCGCGGATGACCGTCTAGATGGTTGCGGTTCAGTGGGATCGGAAGTGGTTTTACTGTTTCGACTTTAGGGTTTCGGGCTGGTCAGCCCAACCCAGGCCAGCGTTGCAGAACTGCATCAATGTGATCGGAGGGAAGATCTACTAGGTAGAACAATGGTGGAAGCAGGTCATTCGCTGGCTTAGCCAGCTCATTAAATTTCAGTTCGCAAGTCTGTTGATGGGTTGATAATCCATTATTTATCAGAGATCCGAGAGATATATATTTCAACGCAATAATACCGGAATGTACATATGTACATATATGTACATATGTATATGTGTAATTAAACCAAAATAAATCAGCTTACCTCAATCTCCAGATGCCCCCTCGGCCGCTCGGCTTATTCCTCCACCACTCCCAGTGGCAGGTCTATAACAGAACAGGTCCAATTTCGTATCTTTTTTTTTTGCGGCCCCACACTGTTGTGATTATTATTACTTTTGTTTGTTTTTGTTTTGTTTTGTTTTCTTTTGTACACTTGCAAGGGGCGAAAAAATATTCTTTTGGATGAAATATTATTTGGACTGCACAATAAGCAAATGATTTAATTTGCATACAAGAAATGTGTTTTTCTCTTTATTCTATTTTTATATTTTTGTTTTGTTTTGTTTTCGTTGGTTGTTGTTGTTGGTTGCTGCTGGTTGTTGGTTTTATTATTCCCCAGACGGGTGCGGCAACAACAAAATTAGGAGTAAGTATTTCAAAATTCACCAAAAAAAATATCACCGAGGAGCAATTAGCAAAACCAATAAAAAATAAGTGAAAAAAAAGATAACTGTTCTGAAAGCGAAATCGTTGCGATTAACAGCAACTCAAATTCAAATTGAATTCATTTAAAACATGTCGAAGGCTCTGGCAAAAATCAAAGATCAAAAATCACCGAACACCAGATGCATCGCAATCGTAATCGGAGTCCCCACAAAACATATACGAGTACGAGTAGGCCGCACATATGTTTGATAACTTTAATTTATAAGGCACTGCACTTCACACCCGCTTCAGTCAGCTACACTTTTCTGTGTTGGCTGTTAGCTGCTCAGTTTGCTGCTGGGCTGCCGGCGTCGTCAGCTCTGACCGAAAGCTCAAAACTGATTGGCGAGGCAAGCGCCAGCCGCACGATAAAACCCAAGCGAAACACAGTCGTTCCGTTCATTCAGACGACTGTGTGCTGGAACGACTGGGAGCGAGTGGAACAGGGCAAGATCGGGACGTGCTGGAAACGAGACTACAAGCAGCGTGTGGAGAATGGGAAGGGAAGGGAAGGGAAGGTGTGCCTAAAATATGCTAATAATAGGCCTCTGAAATATTAGGCTCTGGAATTGGCCTGTGGGTGTTGGCAGGCAGTGTAAGAGTCTGTGATTTTGGTGAATATCCGAATATTAGTGTGTGGGGGGCGTCCATCAAGATTGGGGAGGCTCTATATATGTATGCACATAATTACTTCATGAAATGTTTTGCAGGAGATCTTTAAATTTTATTAAAGGTAAAAAAGGTATTTAGAATATCTGAGTTAAGATGCTCAACGGAAAGATTTACTTCTTATCCGCAAAAATAGTTTAGCTTTTAAATGGAATTTAATAATATTATTTTTCAATACATATACTAATTTTTTTTAATAATAAATATTTAATAACATAAAATTTTAAAATTATTCTAAAAATGTAAGCATAATTTTTTATTCTAAAAATCAATCAATGACTTTTCTTTTCATTCTTCGTCTTTATTCTAGTTTTCGGGGCCCACTGATAGCTGCAAAGACGGAAGTCATAATGAACAGAAGAAAAGCACTACAGGAAAGGTAAATCGAACCAATAATCGAAATCATTAGACAAAGGAAAACTAAAGGTAATGGCTGCAATGACTCTGGCTACAATAACGAGAAATAATACTGGTCCGATCGAATCTAATTGGTAGAGCGGGTGGTGGTGGTGGTGGTGGTGTTGGTGGCTGTGGTGTGCTGAGTGTGTCCGTTGGGTGCGGCGCCAACGCTAAACATAACGGCACAATTATAATTGACTTCAGATATGTATGTTTGTATGTATGTATGTACAATATGAACGGTAACAGTTCGCATATGTTTATTATAATTTTACAGTTTTTTTTCCTATCTTTTTTGCCACATTCTCCAAGGACAAACAACATTTTAGTGAGCGACGACGTCGCCGGCGGCTAACAGCACCACTAAGCCAAGATTGATCTACAAAACTTTAGCTCTGAGCCGAGTTTTTCGCGTTGCCAACTTTCCTTTTTTCTATCTATGTATATGTATGTATATCTGTATATGTGAGGGTTTGTGTGTGTGTGTGCAAAGTGTGCGGGCGCGCATTAAAACAAAAACAGATACTAAAAAAAAAAATATAACAAAAATAAAGAAAAAAAATCGACCAGGCCAAAGCTCTACGACAAAAAGGTGTGGCAACCTCGCAACGTTCTGTTTTTGTGTGTGTGTGTGTGTAGAGGAGTTACAGTTACAGTTACACTTGCATTTACATTTACAGCTTACAGTTTACAGTTACACTTGCATTCACAATTTCAAAATACCCCCAGCCAAAATGGCATAAATAACAACATTTTTCAGCTTTTCAGCAGCTTAGCCAGCAAACAAAACTTCGAAAACAAAAGCAACAAAACTAATAGCAAATAAGATGAAGAAAATTTGTTTAGGATCAGCGAAGTTTTTATACCCTTGACGTCATTCCGTACCATCGGTAAATCAGCCTCGGAAGGGACTTACCTACATATCCTCCAAATTCTAAACTCTAGACTCTGAAGATCAATTCCAATTGAAGAAACAATGCCAGGAAAGGTTCTATCATAGGAATATCATGGGTGTATTTTGGGCGACAATTTCAAACTAAATTTAATTCAATTAATTGAAAACCTATCCAGAGTTCTTACACTATACTATATAGGGACTATAATTCTAGACTATATAGTATACTAGGGGACGAATCTAACTCGGAGTAAATGCACATTTAGATGAAATTATAAATGGAATTCTAAATAAAATGAAAAGATGACAATGAAGGCTATACATATGTATGGGAGCTGAAGGTGGGCGGGTCGGATCGGATTGAAATTGATCCCAGCTTATATGCAAACAATGCCTTAGAAAAGTATTGGAACCAATGCCGGAAAATGGAACTTTTAAGGCAGTGTGCAGAGTGTAAGGAAAAATCATTTATTTGGCGTCTGTCATGGTGCTTGGTGCACCAATATTTAAAGTTTTTGGTGACAATTCACTTTTTGGATGTTGTGTGTGGATGCCGAATTGTAATCGAAATCAAATTGGGGCGTTCTTTTGGTGTTCTTTGGCTTTGCGCAACACCACCAAAATTTATGGCCAACCACTTACCCAGGCAGCAAGGTCAGAACACTTCGAAGTGGCGGGGCTGCCACTGCCACTGCCGCTGGTGCTGGTGCTGGTGCTGGTTGGTGTTGCTGCTCCAGCCCGGAGCTCAAGCCGAAGCCGAAGCCGGGAGTGGAGCCAACAGGTCGAAGAAGCAGGAGTTGCCGCTGCGGCAACCCATGAGTCAGCGACGGCAACTGGATTTTGACTTTGATTTGTTGCACCTTAGCGAAAATATAAATCAGCGACCAATTGCACATTCCCAAGGCCACCAAACCGCAACAAAAGGAGCAACATAACACGACTGCAAATGGGACTGGGACTGGGACTGGCACTTGGGGTACTTGGTACTTGGACCTAATCCTAACCCAGGCAGCCCAGGCAGCCGCCCAACCAACCGAACAGCCGAACAGCCGAGCAACCGCAACAAAGGTCAAGTCAAGTGAAATTTTAGCCAAGACAAGAGACAAGAGACATACAATAAATGAGAAAGCAATGGAAAGAAGAAACCCGAATGGCAAATAAAATTATGTCAAAATTTGAATTAGCAGCTGGGAAAAAGAGCAGACAAGACAATGGCGGTGCATAAATTAATTTTTCTATCAGCTTTTGCATCTGCGGAAAAGTGCACCCAGCATCTCTGCAGGGTTTTCACTTTCGTGTTTGCCATGTGGTGGCGCTGGTTGTGTGGTGTTGGTGGTGGCTCAGTTTCATGCTGAGAGAGACGAAATGGTGGCGGCCATGAAGATGAAGTGGCGAGAATTGTTTCTGTCAAAGAGATAAGGCAGAGTAGAGTTGACAGAAGCTATGCACAGCAAATGATTTACCTTTCTCTGTGCGGTTTTGCCCTTGGCGTGCGGTAAAAATGTTTTCTCATCCGGCGAGACAGCGCCGAAGAATGGGGGAAAATTGTAAATAAAATAATTTGCAGTGAAAATTGGTTTCTATTTTCATATCACATTTTCCTTTTTCGAATGTGTGCCATGCGTACGACTGACTGGCTGGCTGGATGGATTGCATTTCGAATCTCCGCGCCAACTTGCAAATTGCAGATGAGTGGCAGAAAAAATATCGATATTTTGTTCCTGCAGCGCAAAAAGTGAGTCGGAAGAGCGTTTTGAGTGCCCTCTTTCGGCTGGGTCACGGCAAGGTATGCCCATATGAGAAAACGGGCAATGTGCCTTTTTACATAAATAACTTGATTTTATATACTTTGAAGGTTTATTTGGACAATTTTCCAATGCAAATTGAACTCGCGTTAGGAAGCTTCTTCTCTAAAGCGATATATCGATAGTCGAAAACACCATCGATCTATCGCACAATAATACACCATCAATGTAAGCGATAGTGCAATCGATAGCTCTTGAATAGATGTATAGTTTTAATGTTTTTAAATAAAACTATATATATAATTAATAATTGTTAATTATTGAATTCAATTTTACAATGAACAATTCTTCGGCCCCCGTCTATTATAGTGCGGAGACAGTCCGACGGTTCCTCACCTGGCCGCTGGTCAACGAGGCAGTCGAGTCGGCCCTGAAGGCAGTGGTGAACATAGAGAATCGTCCACCCAATGCGGCATTTGTGAACCAGCCAAAGAGGACCTTCACCGTGTGCAACGAGCCGGGCCAAGTCCTGCTCACGATGCCCGCCTTTGTTGGCAACTTCACGCAGACCTCCGATGGCAGTGGCGGAGATGCCGCCAACATTCCACGCTCGACATTGGCCTGCAAGGTGGTTTCCTCGTTCAGTTCCAATCCCCAACGTCAGCCGCCGCTGCCCAGCATAAGTGCAAACATCTTGCTATTCAGCGTCGAGACTGGTGAACTGACCGCCATTATGGCTGGCACAGACATAACCACCTGGCGCACAGTGGCCGCCTCCCTGGTGGCCACCAAGCACCTCTACTTTCGCCGCTTCGGCCCCCGAGCCGAGCACGATCGTGAAATAACGGTGGCTATCATTGGTTGCGGAGTCCAGGGCAAAATGCACGCATCCGCGTTTTGTGCCATGTTCAAGGTGAAGCAGCTGAATCTATATAATCGCACCACTGCCAAGGCCGAGCAGCTAAAGCAGACGCTTGGTTCCGTCGCACAGACCAAAATAAGTGTATGCAGCAGTCCCGGGGAGGCTGTGCAAGGCGCAGACGTCATTTGCATTGCCACCTACTCGCCGGAGCCGCTGGTCTTTGCATCAGATCTGCGCGAAGGGGTATCTGTCCATATTAATGGTGGGTCCAAGCACTTCAAGCATTCAAATCCATTCGTGTGTAACACGTTTGTCTTGCAGCTGTGGGCGCTGGGGAAGTTCACTACTCGGAGGTGGCGCCAAATGTATACGAACTGGCCCAGGTCTATGTGGATTGCTTTGCCAATGCCGAAAGCGAGCTGATTGGCCTGCCCGCGCCCATTGCCGGCGAACTGGGCTCTGTCATCGCTGGTGGGCAATACCCCGCAGCGTCAGCAGTCACCATCTTCCAGTCCATGGGTGCGTAGAGTGGCGAGTGGCGAGTGCGTCGAACCTATAACACCTACATATATAACAACTCTTTGCAGGAATGGCTTCAGAGGATGCTTGTGTGGCGCAGGCCGTGCAGGACGCAATCCTCTCCAGCGTCAAGTAATACAGTCGATCGTCTCTTAAAGGCCCCAAAACCTGTGATATAAAATGACAGAGGAGATGAGAAGCTGCTTATGTTGAGGCATTTATGGCAACAAATAAATATTCCATGTATACATATATGTACATATAAAATCAATTGGAAACGTAACAATCTTTGTGTGTGGTGTGGTGTGGTGTGTGGTGTGTGTTTACGAACTACGCAATGCATTTAGCTTGGCATCAGCATTAAAGTTTACTTCCAAATCACAGTCACATTTGTGTCCTTCTCGATGTCCCGCTCAATGGTGCAGGGCGAGAGGCCCGTCTTGCAGCAGATCTCGTCGAAGCTGATGAGGCCCGTGTACATCTTCTGGCGTCCGGATGGCACCGATCCCGTGAACACCGGATACTTGTGGATGCATCGAATGAACTTGTGCTGCAGCCCAAAGATGACCATCTTGCGCTCATCGATGTTGTGATGCTGGGGACACAGGCGCTGGCAGATGGCTCTCAGCGTCACGCCGTGCGTCATCGACGCATAGAACTGGAAGATGCGCTGCACGCTGGGCAGCGTTTTGTCCGGCTTGAGGGCCACGTACTTGCGACAGGCGTTGCTCAGGGACGCACTCTGGATGAGGTGCTTCAGGTTCTGGGTCATGTAGACGTTGCTGTACTTGAGGATGGGCAGCAGCTGCACCACACCGTAGTAGACCAGATTCTGTATGCACGACTTGACCAAATCCGTTTCCACATCCGCCTCGGCGGCAATGCGCGCCACATGATTGATGCCATTGATGTAGGGCAATATCTGGATAAGAGCGAGATGGAGATGGAGATGGCGGTGGAAGATATGTAAGTGAAAGCATTCATTACCTGCTGCGTGGTGAGGTCCCAGTTCTCTAGCGGCGTATCGCGCAGATTGGCCAGCAGCAGAGGCACCATGTGATCCTTGACCGCGGGAGGATCAGGCTTGTGCATCACAATCTTCAGATAAATTGTATTGTCGCCCTCGACAATGGTGGCCACCTTGCGCTCGTTCAGGTCCCTGAGCACGGTCTCGAAGATGTTCTGGAGCCGCCGCTTGTCGTCCTCGCGGGACAGGAAGCACGACTCCTCCTCCATCATGATAAGGTACTCCGACAGCTTCTTCACAACGGGCTCATATTGCACGGAGCGGGCCCGCGAATCGCAGACGAAGCATAGATTGAATAGAAAGGCATTGCGGGCGTACTTCTGCTGGTCCTGTATGCCCACCGGATAGCCAACAATCTTCACGTCCATGGCGTTCACGGTCAGGATGCAGCGCTGCAAGTGCTGCTTGGGTATGATGTACACGTTGATGGCATCGAACACATCCTTGGAGATGTAGTTATCAGGCACCTATCAGCCGAGATAAGGTTTATTCGAAAGCTGGCTGACGCTAACAATGAACGTACTCACTTGGCAGCTTATCTTGCAGCCAGCTGTGGCATGGAATTCGCTTAGAAATATGCACCGTATTTTGCCCTCTGTGCTGCCGCCGCTGCTCGTGCCAGCAGCGTCATTCGTGTGGGAGTGCATGCTTCACTAACTTCTCATTTTTGGGCAAAGTATCCTGATCCTTATCCTATCCTCCGCTTCCGACCGAGTCAAAAAAAAAAAACATTTATATCAGGTAGAAGGCGTTAGTGCTAACAGCCGCTAACCGTCATCGATAGTTGCCAAAATCATCGGCAAGGCGCGTGCTCCCAGGCCAGTGCTGCAAAATAGTTCACTGTGACCCCTCTGCTCGGCAGAAATTCACGTCTCATCTCAAATTGGGTATATAGTTTTTATTTAGCAAAATTAAGCAAAATGACAAACGAAAACGTCAGCGTGAGTACAAATGTCGCCGAACGCCTTAAGGTGGGCATCCGAGAAGGCGTCACTTATCCGATCGTGATGAAGTACTGCGGCCACTGCACCATGCCCATTGAGGTAGGATAAATGAAGCATTAGGCCGGCTTTGCAATTTAATTCGATTCGATGATATTTACAGTACTGCGAATACTATCCGGAATATGAGAAGTGCAAGGAATGGCTGGAGCGCAATATGCCCGATGACTTCGAGCGCCTTAAGATCGAGGAAGAGCAGGCTGCTGCCGACGGCACAGACGATGACAAAAAGCGGCAGAAGCGCGGCGGCAAGGGACTGCTGCGTGTCAAGAAGAAGGAGGATGTCCCCAAGCGCATCTGTGTGTCCCGAGCGGCCCGCGGCAAAAAGAAGTCTGTGACTGTGGTCACCGGCCTGAGCACCTTTGGTCAGTCCCAGTCCCTCCTTTCCGAACAATCCCATATTCAGCGTTTTCACTGCATTCCCCTAATTGTGGTTTCCTTTTGAAATTGCTTACAGATATTGATCTCAAAGTGGCTGCGAAATTCTTTGGCACCAAATTTGCTTGCGGCTCGTCGGTCACTGGCGACGATGAAATCGTCATCCAGGGCGATGTCAAGGACGAGCTCTTTGATGTCATACCCGATAAGTGGGCAGAAATCGATGAGGACGTCATCGAGGACCTGGGCGATCAGAAGCGCTAAGCGCCCACACAAAGTTTCACCAATCAGCAGCAGCAGCAGCAGCAAGCAACAAGCAGCACATACATATTTTTGTCTTCTTTTATACGCTACAATAAAATATTAAACGTTAAACCACTCAAATGTTATTTTTTCGTCTCATCATCCGGCTTATCCGGCTTATCCTGCTTATCCTTCTGCAGCTCGGCTTGCCCGTCTGTCTGTGGTGCGGCCGGCGGCTGCTTCTGCTCTGCGGGTGCTTTTTTTTCCTTGCTCTCCTTGGAAGCAGCCTGGGTTTGGGCTTGGGCTTGACTTTGGGTTGGCTGCGGCGGCTGTGGCGTTGGTTCCACTCCGTAGAAGTGCTTGTACGACAGCTGGATGATTTTCTCGTTCTCCTCGTCCGTCAACGGAGATTTGTTGTCATCGATCAGCTGCAGAACGCAAACGAAATTGGAGGCGCTGCTGATGCATCGGCACATGAAGCTCTTACCAATTGTGTGTGCAGCGGACTGGTGGGCGGATCGTTCACCATTTGGAGTACTTCGTGGGACTTCAGGCGATAGCTGGCCAGCTCTTTCACGTAGTTTATGATGCCCTCACGTGTCTGAGTCTTGCAAGGCGACTCTTCCAAATATTGCAGGGCCTGAAATACCAATGCCATGAGCTCTTCGCTGCTGCACAGTAATGAATAAACAGTATTTATACACACCTCGTAGGTTACTGTGGCCAGGTTTCGCATTCCGAATTTCTTTTTGGTGGCTTTGATTTTCTGGAGCGCCTGCATAACCTCCATGTTCGTGAGGAACGAGTAGGTGGCATTGACACTGAGAGAGTTAAATAATTATATGGATTATTTGATCTTCCTATTCAATAATCTTACGTTTCCATTGTGGTTAAATTATCGGCACACTCCAAAAGTAAACATTTAGTACGAGCGAACTAGTTCCTAGGAACGAACTAGCCAAAATATCGCGTTTGCTAACACTACTTTGTCACCAAGTATTGAGAATATAAAAGTAATTAAAAAATGTTGTTTTAATACAGTTAAGAGTGTACTTTGAATAGCTTTCAATTTGCAAATTGTTTTTCTTGTTCATATCAAGGCAATAATAATTGCCTCACTGTTGGCGCCAAAACACCAAAGACGTGACGTTGATCTGGCCACACTTTTACAGCACTGCATCCCGGTCCGCCAGTTCAACGCGAAAATTAATTTCATCGAATCGAATCCTCGTTTCACAAGTCCACACCACATCTTGTGCGTTCACTAAATAACACAACAAATAAATATCTGTCGTTCGCAACTGAAGACTGCCCAATGACAACTGACAAGACGCCCTCAATAATCGCAGGGGGGCCAAGGGCAAAGCAGCGCCTGCCGAAGCGGCGTTTGAATGACTTGCACCAGAGCCAGTGCAACAAGGCTTACCCCGGATCGCACCGCCAATGGTGCCACCACAGCCGTGTGCGTCGTTTGATTGCCGTCGATAAGTATGCTGCGCTGCGATCTCCACCCAAGCAGTCGTGGATGTCTCTGCCCCGCTGGTGCATCGTCCTGATCGCCACAGGGGCCTTGATTTGCGGCTTTAGCTCGCTCTACGACGAGCAGAATGTGAGCAACTTTATGCTGAACTACAGCAAACAGTACCAGGCCATCGTCCACAACAGGCCGGACTATTGTGATCATACGCTGCCGCTGAACGAAATGTTTGGCCACATTCGCCGGCACGTCCTCAACCAAGAAACGGCTCTCGACCAGCTGGAGGAAGCTTTGAGCCGGCAACAATTTCAGTCGATCTCCCTGCTGGGATCTTCGGGCGTGGGCAAGAGTCTGACGGCTCGTGTGCTCCGGGAGCTGTTCCCCTGGCCGGAAAATGTACACGCTCTGACCAGTAGGGATATCTCGGACGCGGGCAGAATGAATTCGCTGCTCAGCAACTTGGCGCACTGTGGCCGCAATCTCATTCTGGTCGACAACTTGAGCATGGCCAGCAGGGATCAGGAGATTGTTACAGTGGTGAACGATCTGGTCAGCAGCTTTGGCGACATCGCCAGACACAACAATACGCACAAAGCAAACCTCAAACGGCTATCCATTGTCTACATCTTCAATATCAATCGCTGGCTCGACGAGACTTCAGATGAGCTATTCGCCTCCATGCGGCAGCTGCCACACAATCAAGTGATTCAATATGATACGCTCGAGCGGAAGCACTTGGAGAGTTGCATTCGACACGAGGCGGCCCTGGAGCATCTGCATCTGGATCAGGAGTATGTGGAGGAAATGATCCGTGTCACAGATGTCAATGTGTCCGGATGCAAAACAGTCCGTGCCAAGGTTCTAATCTACGGACAACCCAAATCGAATAACACAAAAGACTGACAACCAAAAAAGACTTGGAACCGTTGAAATTCCTAAACATAGTAATATATATATATAGAGAGAGATTCCATTCCGCCTATTCACAAAAGTATACGTAGAAAACACCAAAAAGCGACAATCCTGTACAGCACCAGTGATAAATGTATTTGAATTATGTATGTATGTATGTACGTGTATAGTCCTGGCAATGTTAATGCCATAAAAGTTAATAGAGAGAGAGAGAGACACAGAAACAGAGTCCAAGAATCAATATTGGAACATAACTAGCGATCGTGGTGCCTCCGCAGATCGCGGTCTGCGTTGTTCCCTTTGCGAGCCGCGATACCAAAAGACGGATATTAAATTACTGATTCATTAAATGTAATCTTAGACAATTGATCAACAATTATTTCACTTCCACGGTACAGCCTAAAATTGTCTCAAACAATTTAAATAGGAAAACGTTTCGTGTTCCCCAGGATGGGGTGTAGATAGTTGGCATAGCTGCCGAATGACAATATTAACCCTCTCCTTTCCCTCAGCAGACATTAGTGTTTTTTCGAGACATTTTGCAGTGTTAGATGTTAGTGAAGTTTTTGTGAGAGTTAAATTTGTTACTGAAACGCACGAGGTAAGTGTCCCGGACAGCCGTAAGATAATTACCATAATGACAACAAGGCCAATTCTTTTTCTTCAGCCGTTTGTTGGTGGATCAGTCAAGAAACTTGGAGCAGCGTTGGAACGTTCCTCAGGGGTTGAAACGTATGAACGATTGACGCATCTAAATAATCTATCTGGGAAGCGGCCTCGCCTCGCAGTGGAAGTCTCCGAAGAGACCGGGATGTCCTCGACCACGGACTACGACTGAAGAGGCACACACACACTCCGAGCGACTGTAGCCATGCGCCATGCCGCATAGCATGCCCGGAGACCAACACACAGCGTCTCCCACAGTGTCCCAGTGCTTACCAGATGGAATCGGAATAACGGACGAGCTGCGATTGGAGACGACTGTGAGCGGGACACTCTCCACGCTCTGCTCGTTTGCCTCTCTATCCTATTGCTGGAACAGACGCGACCCTCCACGTCTCTTGGTTGGCCTTGGAATGGTGCGGATCGAACAGCAACGTTGGTCTGCGACCTGTTCCATTGTTTTCGGCATTCATTTTGTAGTCTCAAATGCAGATCAGAATAAATAATTATAAATAAATTAAAGAGACTTACATGAAAATTAAATCCACTCCCAAATTAAATAAAAAGCCCCAAAAGTATGCTCAAATAATCAGCAACTTAATCGTAACTCCAATCACATTTCCATCTCAAAATTTTGGGGTCTTCTCCTCGGCTTCCGGCTTCTCCGGCTCTTGCTCAAACTTCCACCCCCCTTTGCTTGGAGTCTGCTTGGAGTCTGATTGTTTTTGTAAAGAGAATCTTTTGTGAATCTTGTTGTGATTGTTTCCGCTGTGCGATGATCCAGTGGAGATTGTTTATATACCTAAATATATAAAATTTAATTAATAAGCATTCAGATGCTTGGTATTCTTAGATATGCGTGATCGCAGGGATCGCAGATCGATCCAAAGGTCCACGAACAATGATAACAAGCAGAGGAGCTCCCATCACATCACATCACATCCAGGGAATCTTGCCCAGCGCTGCGGCGGCTGCTGGCCAAGCCGTATTCCGTTCTCGCATTGTGAAGAAGCTCCCCCCCTGTTATCGGGCGTCGTGTGTCTGCTCGATTTAATATTTTATAGTCGCCATGGCCTACAAAATAAAAACAAAACAAAACCACAGCCAACAAACCAGCAACAAGCATCCAGTCAGTCAGTCAGTCAGTCAGTTGTCCAGGGTCAAGTGCGTTGGCATTGCCGCCTGTCCCACAGGCGCACACGACACACGCGTGATATACTAACGTGTAGTTGTAGTTGTAGTTGTAGTTGTAGCTTTAGTTGTTGGTTGCATTGAGGTCCGAGCTCAGCCTACTTCCGGTCGAGTGGCGGGTGCCTCTGCTGACCTCACTGACGCCTACGTAGCATGAATGTTGATGCATCTTTATCAGACACCCTGTACCCTCTCGTCGAGCACAAGCTTACCTGCCCCCATTTTGAATGTTGAATTTGAATAGGTGCAGCTGGAGGTGGAGGCTCTTCCCTTCGTTCTGAACAATCCATGAAATTCTACTAAATCGTTTAACGATTGAAATAACTTTGTGTCTGTATCGGAAAGCATCTACACAAAAATAGGTGAACAATTAAAAAATGTACAAGTTAATTTGGCAATTAGTTAAACAATACAAAAGATGATTGCGGCTCCACGGATATATCTACATATAAAGTGTGGAAAGCGTAGCAGGTCTGCGAGTTCGTACTGCGAAATGGAGCAACCACCGCATCCAACGGCCAAGTGGTGCAGCATTTTGCTGGTGCTGATCCTGCGCATTGGAGGCTGCACAGTGAGTTCAAAAATTCTGCTGCAGGATGCAGGATGAGAGAAACCCGTCCGAACAGTTGCATTGCCTGGTGTTATTTATTTATTACGCTTCTAGCCAGTCAACTATGAGATCATTGGTGATGAAAAAACAATGGCCATCGAATGTGATGGTATGGATAACGAGGGTGACATTCAAGTCAGACAGATCTTGGACATGAGCGACGTGCGATTTGTGATTGCCGATGATCTGGAGACCCTCTACTACAGCGGCGATATCAAGGTGCTGATGGACATACCCCAATCGCCCATCACCCTGCAGATGGACGTTTTTCGCTGGGTGCGCAGCGAATGGCTGCCCACACCATTCTCGATAAAGAGGGACGACTTCTGTAAGGCCCTGCTGGATCCGTGGGAGTTTTGGCATCCAGTGGTCAGGGAACTCCCAAAAAGTCAGCTCAATTGTCCCCCAAATAAGTCAGTAAGTTAGCGGCACAAGCATCCTCATCCTGTGCAGGATCATGAATAACATGAAACCCAAAATAATTCCCATTGGCACAGCACGTCTACTCCCTGAGGAATATCAGCAACCATTTGTTCGTGAACAATATGCCTTCTGTGGACATTGCCGGCGACCTGAAGGCGGTGGTCCACTTGAGCACAGATCAGCACAAGACCTGTATGGTGGTCTTTGTCAAGGTGTATGCGAATTGATAACCGTGACACGATATCTGGCTGCGTCTCTTTTATGGCTTGGTCTGCCAGTTGCTGTTGCTGTTGCTGCTGCTGCTGCTGCTGCTGCTCGACTCTGTTTGCTCAGCTTCAATGGCACGGCGCGTTCTCCCTCCGTTTATGATTCTAACTAAATGATTTGCAAATAAAACAAAAATATTTCATATTCATGCACTCGAAAAAAATGCCAGAAATGATTACCTTTTATTATTTTCTGTTCTGTTTTGTTTTGTTTTTTTGTTATATTTCCTTCCCGCTTGTTGGTGGGTGATAAGCCACAACTGAAATGGGAACTTAGCCCAGTAATCCCCCCTGAGGTATTTGCCAGAAGCTCAAAAGCGGCGCCATGCACAGCCCAGCCACATGGACTGAACTCATTCTCCACAGCGCGTGATGGGGGCGTCCGTATCCGTATCCATACACCGCTGACTCCCCCAGCTCCCCAGCTCCGCTGCCTGCTCCGTGTTACCCCAGCCCAAGCTGCACCCTGAACTGCGGGAATTTACGATGTGTGTAGATTCGGGCACACACTCACTGCTTCTTTCACACAAATTATCTATTTATTTACTTTAGTTATTCGCTGCCACGTGGTTTGCCCCGCAGTATGTGTGTATTTTTCATGACTGAAAATAAGACAAATTATGTAGCTTACAAAAGTATTTATATATGTAATTACATTACAGGATGGTTAAAGGATTTGTTCCACTGAACTCAAACAATAAACAAAGATCATGAAAAGTGATTCTTTTTTTTTTGTTAAGATTGTGGTAAGACAGGCAACGCAAACCGCACTCCTCACTGCATTCCTATCTGCGTTAAAAAGTCCTGGCAAAAGAGAAATACTCGTACGAACACATACGATTACATTTTAGGAAAATTGTTGCACCGATTGTTAATATTCCGATATCATTGGGAGCAGCAGCAGCAGCAGCAGTTCTAACTACTTGTGTGTGTGTGTGTTCTGTTTCCGCTTGTGTGTGAATGCTTTATGGGTTCTATTCAAAATGTCTCTCTGTGCTACCTGTTTATTTGCTCGGGACTGTGTCACGATAAACAAACGATTAGCTGACGAAAGATCAGCCATAAAAAACGAAGCTAAAATATTATATTTAAATATTAACAGCAGTTGACCCGCACTTGACTTGACATGTAACAGATTACCTGAACGCATTCAAATGCATTTATTTATTTGGCCTATTAAATATTTATGACTCTGAGGGGGCACCTTAGGTTCAGAGAAAAATAAATATTAATGGGTAGGGGAAGTAAAAGCGCAGATATAATTTTCTTGGATCTGGCTGGGATGGATATAGTAGATATACATATATTTGATAATAGTCGCAAGTAATTTCTCAGAATAAAGTCAATCATGGAATATAATTATAATTGGCTTTTGCTTGGACACATTCTACGAATATATTAAAACTCCCGCCGAGTTCCGCTGTTCGAATGCAACTTCAGACAGAAACTCAAATACGAATCACATCGAATCGAATCGAATCGATATGAAAATGCATCAATAATAATGCACAATGTGCACACATATGCATTTAATAATGGTCACAGCTGATGTGAGCCGATCGACTGTGCATACATATGTACATATATATATTAGCTAACGGGCCGAAAGCGCTTTAAACTGGTAATGACTTGTAATTGTCGGTTTTGAGGTAGAAACTGTAGACTCCGGCTTAGATATAAGAGGGGCTCGTTCAGGGGAAAGATGCTGCAGCACGAGTTGCAGCAGGCAGGATCGCATTGTTCAATGGGTAGATGGATGGATGTTGCAACCGGGAGAAGAAGGGAAGCTTGCCTTGCCTTGCTCCGGGTTGGGTTCCATTTAGATAAAAGCAAATACAAATTAAATATATGAACCTGAGAAAAATATTACGAAATGCAAATGCAAATAAATAGAATGTCAGCTACGCGCTTAGGTAGCACTAAATGTCGTGCACGAATACACATCTACATAGAGATGTAGAAAAATATGCACTGAAGATGTATCAACAGATAAGCTTGCCGCCAGAGATACAGATACAGATACAGCTACAGCTACAGATATTGTTGCAAAACAAAAATAGAGAAATAGAGAGTGCCCCTTAGAAATCGAACTCATTAAGCTGAGAAGAAATTCCCAATATATCGCATCGGATATCCTATTTTTCCTACCGAATCTGTCACAGGAGCGCAGGAGAAAGTGAAAACACACAAAAGAGAGTGCTTGAACACCGTTAGAAAAAAGCCCTGAAATTGTAATATTTTCACTTAGTTTTTTATATTTATGCCATGGATTTTCATCCAAGAGTGGTTGCATTAAAATTGAATATTTTTCACTTACATATTGATATAAATATGAAAATATTTAAATTTAATATATTTTATATTTAAATTTAATGTTTTATTTTTAAAGTTAATTGCTTCATATTTAATTTAATATGTTTAATAGTTAAATCTAATATGTTTCATATTTTAAAACATTTTATGCTTAAATTTAATATTTTTCATATTTATATTGAGTATATTTCATTTTTAAACTAATTGGTTATTATTTTGCCTACGCGGACTACATTTCAAGTCCTCATGGTATGAATTGGTTAAAGTTTTCAACTAGAAATAATTGCAACATGAGTAGAACTGCATTGGTTGTGATTATGCGCCTGCGCAAAGATAATTTAATTGTGTATTCAAGGCGGCAGCAGCTTGAACCAGTTGGGAATTCGAGGGACATAAAAAAAATAATATAAAAATATTTAAAATAAATACAAAGAATATGTAATTTCATTTAATATGGAATATTTAAAATAAAAAGTTTTGATTTTGATTTGATTTTGATTTTAAAACAAAAATTTTGAAATCAAGTCATAATAATATTCAATTTAAACATGAAACATATTAAACAAAAAATTTAGTATATTATAGTTATTTTGAAATGTTTTGTATTTAGATTAAATATGACCGTACTAAAAAAGCATTTTCAATACATTTATATTTGAATCAAAGTGAAATCCATTTAATTTTACTATGTTAATATTGGCATGTTAAATTCAAATATGATTTTAGTTATTTTTACTATGCCTTTTTTCTATCAGTCAAGAGTTTTTCTAGAATTGAAGAAATAAATTCTTAGTGAATGTCATTTGAAGGATTATAAACTGTTCTACCCAAGGTGCGAAATTTGGAAACACACCTGTGGCAGTGTGATATCACATGAGTCTGGAAGCAAAATGTGCTAGAAGCCGGTCAGTATCTGTCACATCCAAGTTGGGAGCTAGCGAGCCCAAACCCACTTCAACAGCAGCTGATTGGATGATTGGGAATGGGAATTCCCGGCAACAATTTTTACAGGTTTGATATTGAAATTTTAATTTGTCTCATATCGTTCCACCACTTGACACCACTCCAAGTTACTTTCCGCATTTCGCGGCACCAAGACCAGACCATTGGCAGCCCACTGCATCCACAGGCAGCCCTGCCCGCCACAAGTCCCATTTGATTAAATAAAGGAACAGCATTTAATCAAAATGAGTAGAGCAAACACGAAGAATACACAAAGTATATATGTATGTACATATATGTATGTGCATATATGTACCATGTTTTGGCGTCTCGTCTCGCCACTCCGTTCGTATTTGCATCTTGGATAAATATGTGGATAATAAATAATTATTAAATTAATTAAATAAATACTATTTTCAGGAACAAAAAATAAATAACATATTTTATTGCGCAAAAAAGGCAAATAAGAAGACAGACAGCCAGAACGCAGAAGGTGGTGTAATAAAGTGAGGTGAACACGCAAATGGATGTTGCGATGGCCGAAAGATGATTTCTATCCACTCGACTCCACTCGACTCCACTCCACTCAACTCAACTCCCATACAATCCAATCAATCCCAATCCCATTCCCAGTCTCCCAATCTCCAAGTGAAAACTTTTCAAACAAGCCGGTGGGCACGTGACCGTGACTTTGACATGCATCGTTGAGCAGTGGGGCAGCCAGGGAGGCAGCCAGGGTGGCAGCGAGGGGAGCTGGAGGTGGAGGTGGAGGTGGATCAGTGTCTTTTTTATTTGCCTAAACCATTTTCAATTATTTGTATGCAATAATTGATAGAGATTAACTAAATATGGCAATCATGCAATCGCATTTTTCTGACGAAGGTTGTCAGTTAGCTGGATTGTCAGATGCCCCCTCCCTTTGGGTAATTTAGCAGATGCTAAATAATAATTTCAGCCATCTAATTGCCTATTATCATTGTGCAAACTGTACGAAATGTGACAGGGCTAGTCACTGGATATTCACTGTTGGGTGGGAATATCGCGGCAGGGCATGCAGCACTGAGAAGCACCTATGCAACACGATCTCCGGTCATTTGAGCGGGCCTTCTCCGGCCTTCTAATATACGGAAGCAGTCAGCAATCATTCATTTGGCTGCTTTAGCTGGCTAATTTGGTGCTCCAGGGCTCCAGGCCAGCCACCAAAATCAATTAAAGCTCAGAGAAAATTGCAAATATCTGAAAATATGTGCTATGGCTTACCCAAAGAAAAAGTATTATCTCATCGCCACGGAAGCTCAACTGAGTAATCATTTGCAGCAAATATTCCTCGGATTTTTAACTGAAATATTAATTTTGCTTTACAAGCGCGAACAAAAAGTTCTAGCAATTTCTTTTTCAGTGTAGGCGCGAGGTATCGAAAGCGCTAAGCCTTCTTTTATGTGCTTTGTGTCTCAAGGTGTTAAAGCAAACTGCAGCAGCCGACAGGCGTCATTCCTTAACCCCTGCCAGCCCCACCCCACCCACAGGCCACTGCCACAGGCCACCGCCAAAACCAAACGGACCGCGCGACAAATAACAAGAAAATATTGGAGAAAAAAACAAAACAAACCCCTCAAAAATGTCGCATTTGCCCAATTGATTAGCAGGGCGTTTACAGTCGCTCATAAAAAGTTGTAGACGTTGGGCGTTAAATTGATGTTTATGACAGATCAGATCAGATCAGATCAGAGCAGATCAAATGAGATCCGACCATCGCCCGACACTCTTAACTGGTTGTGTCCGGTAGCTCAATCGAATCTTCCTGGTGCTTCCTACCCTTCCCTTCCATTCCCTTCCCCTCACTTGCCTGTCATTGCCATGCCGC